CTTATATTTGCCATAGTAATCGACGACATTACTTTCTTAGTAAGTGAGTATGATTTCGAGACTAGTACTCATATCATTGTCTGAAAAGTCAGCTTATTTTGCTATAGTAATCGACCACATTACTTTTTTATTAAATGAATATGATTTCGCGACTAGTACTCATAGCATTATCTGTAAAGTCAGCTTATATTTGCTATAGTAATCGGCGACATTGCTTTTTTCGTAAGATAGCAGGTCTTCGAGACTACGAGTAAATCAGATATATGTATCAAGACCTACTCACCTACGAAAAAAGTAATGTCATCGATTGCTATAACAAATATAAGTAGTTTCGAAGCCCACCTAGCGCAAATGTAAGTCAGTAAAGTACTGATTACACTGCTAAATATAGTTCCACAATAAAACACGACTTAAGGGAAGTCTGGCTTTTCATGAAAATCGCATCTGCCCTTTGAGCCAGTGACAGTCATGTCTCTGTGGAGGAGGGGTTGGCATGTCGTCAATTTTGTCGCAGGTCACGCCTTCGAATCCCGTTGAAGGTGCCGTCGAGACGGTAAGAGATGCTGACAGTTCAATCCAGTCGGGATGGGAAACTCACACGTGGAGCATCCTAGACCCATTCTTTTCACTGTGTAAAATCCAACCATCAGCGTTCAGTGATTTATGTGTATTTGTTTCCTGTGCTAGATGGGGTGTGCCTTATAGGCAGGCAGGATCAAAAAAGTGACCAATGCATGATGTCCCATTCTTATTTTGCGAAAAAGATGAATTGAAATACCAACACCAAAACCATCATAAATGTCAAAATACTAACAGTAACATCTCAAGCGAAATGGGGCATGGGAAGCGATCAAATGAGAGAATGGAATACGCCTATTTCAGCCCCACAGCAGCCTTTGTCCACCAAATATTTATTAATGTCAACATGTCATTTGTCCTCAGCCTCAGCCATTCTGTTCCCTTCTTCCCACCAGGCCTTGTCTTGTCATGCCTTGTCTTCAAAGGATTTTCTCAATCTCCTCCTACTTTCTGTCCGCCTCATTCATTCTGAGTTGTTCACCCCTTTATGGACTAAGCTTTTGTTTAGTTTTTTGTCAGTGAGTGTATGCGTGAATTCCAGACCTGATTCCAGAGGCTTCTATTCCTACCGGCCCGTTTGACTTAGCTCCCAAACGGCCCCACAAGTTCACCGTGGAACCGACTGACGAAGTGAAGTCCTGCCTCCGGTCGTGTTGGCCACACGAAAAGAGGTGGCTGTATGCAGGCTCGCCCATATCGCGACATTCTCTGGGCCGCCTCAACAGCGCAAGTTTAGTTCCCATGGCTGGGGCCGCCGCCAGTCGGCCGATTTAGGCGGGCCCGACTCGCAGTGATCTGAGGGGATGAGAAGAGGTGGAGAGTGTGGGAGAAAGGGAGGGAGATTATTGCCGGCTTCGGAAGAGACCCATACAAGTCAGTGTTTACAGCCTCGCTCTTGTCCCGAGAGCCGGACTAATCTGGGAAGGGCTTGTCACACGTCCGTCCGGGAAGCCATTGAATGAGGGAACTGGTTATCCCCTTGCGGGTGATTGAAGTAGGGTCGGCTGCGCCATCCC